GATTTAAACTGGTTGCAGCAGACATCGAAATGTACACCAGCCAGTGGTTTTACCCCAACCACCGGCCTTAACCCTGAAGAAGAAATCCTTAACAAATGGGCCAGAATGTACCTAGCAGTTTAACTATCGTTAGATGGATTTTGTGCAATGTGTTTAAACCATTTTAAGGGCTTCAATAAGCCACACAACACACGAACGACGTGCTTTAACATGAAGCAGTCAACTTAGCCTTTCAGCGGATCTTGTGTATTAATTTCATTATTGAAATGTTTCATTTGCAAATTATTGACTGCTTTGTTAATGAGTCAACTTCAGTGATGAATGCTTCCTGTACCTTCTACTAGTTTTATTTTAAAGTCATACTGAGCTGTCCATTGGCGCAATCGTATCAGTGATAGTTATGACCGAAATTTATGTAAACTGGTTTAAGTAATAATTATAACACTTGTTAATAAAGCGAGCATACATCATTAACATGAAAGAATATTAAGGCATGAACAAAATGGTAATAAACAACATCCAGAAACTGTTTGTTACGAATGATGCAGCGACGATTATCAAGGAGCTACAGGTAAAGATTGGCACTATTTTTGTTGATTGTTAATTTTTTCACCCTTCCAGTTGTTATTCAGATTGAACATCCCGCGGCCAAAATTTTGGTTATGGCCAGTGAAATGCAGGAACAGGAAATTGGTGACGGAACTAACACTGTCATAATATTGGCGGCTTCTTTACTAGAAAATGCGGAGGAACTTATTCGAATGGTAACGTTTTTTTGTCGCTGTTGGCATTTTTTATTTTTACACTAACACAATTCATATTAATCTGGCTAACAAAAGGGTTCAGATTTGGGTAGTCGATTATATCTCTGCGGCAGCTGTCAACAGTCTTTAACATTTTATTTCTATCCTCCCGATTATGAGGATTTGAACAAGAGTAACAAAGAATTCTGTTTTTCAGCGTACATTAAAAAATATAATTCTGCGCAAATTAAATGGCATGTAAATAGCACTGAAAATAATGAGAAACGGAAATTCTCGAGCCGAGTGTGCAATGGTCACAAAATAGGAAAGAACCAGGTTACTGTATTATTTTGATTTTTGTAATTGTAACGGACTCTAAGCTGGAACAAACGTCTTATCTGCGTACTGGAGCGTCCAAATGCAACCAAAAATCTTTCAAAATTAAAAATTTGCAGAACTTTATAGTTTTATATTTACTGCTGCTTGATGGTAAACACGGTAACATTTCTAAATCTGTTGTACTCTCTAAATATCTAACTGTCTGAAGTCTTCAGAGAACACTGTTTTGTACAAAAACTTAAACTTCGTTTTATTAGGGTTTAAATCCGACGGAAATTTCTGACGGGTACGAAAAAGCGTGCAAAAAGGCGTTGGAAACTTTACCTGGTATCAATGTTTTTGTTAGATTCTATCGTCATTCAGGTTATTCTGCTTTCAGACTTAGTATGTGGAACCATCAAAGACTTAACTAACATCGACGAAGTAGTTAAAGGCATCCGTCCCGCTATCATGAGCAAGCAACGGGGATACGAAGATCTGTTGTCGAAGCTAGTAGCTGAAGCATGCGGTATTTAATTTATTCCAGTGTTTTTATGTATTTTCCCCTGACCATTTCTGTTTTAGTTAAAGTGTTGCCCAAAGATCCATTGCTCTTCAGCGTCGATAACATTCGTGTATGCAAGATTTTGGTAAGATTAAAGTTTTCGTCTTCGTTGCTGTATTGCTTTAAACGAGGAATATGATGTGATTTTAGGGTAGCGGCGTATTGTCATCGTTTCTCATGAATGGAATGGTTTTCAAAAAGGGTATCGAAGGTGCGGTGAGGAAGGTCAATAAAGCGAATATCGCGGTATTTTCATGTCCATTTGACATAACTCAGCTGGAAACTAAGGTATCTTGCCTAGTACTCAATATAACTTCTCTTAAACGAGTTTGTCAGAAGTGCCCATTTAAGAACTGTGTGAATATCACTGTTCTCTTAGTTGCATGGGTAAAATGTGATGATTGAAATATATAACTTTTGGTCCATATACTTCGAAAAATCTATTCATTAAAACGGCGTTCGTTAAACATCGCCATATCGTAGCATGTCTTTTCGAGGCCAGGTTGCTTGGTAGAGTGTCGACCTGTAGTCGGAAAATTGTGCCTACCAGTTTTGAGCGAGCCATTCGCCTTTTGTCCTTCTTAAGTCGATAATTTAATATTACTACGTGAGAACGAAGCAGGAGACTGCGCTGTTTTCTTGTCTTAGCTTTAGTTACTGCGTTAGGCTTTTTTGGCTGATGGAGTCGAAACATACATCGGTAAGCCACTGCAGTCTTTTTCCTTTGCTCTTAACTATAATAGTACATCACATCCTACGAAATAGCGCTGAACGGCATTTCGTGGACGACCTCCTTTTTAAATGGAAGGAAAGCTCGAGGTGCTCAGGGATGCGCCTGACTGACTTGAATTCTGTCCATGACAGTGTTTTACTGGGCGAAAACGATGACGACACTCGCTCATTTTGTGAAGCGGTGTGCAAAAGCAGGCATCCAGCTTAACCCTTCAAAAACAAAAGTGACGTGAAATTGCTGAAGTGTCGTAGAGCCGAAGGGTACCATGAGAACAGTACCTTTGAAGAAGTCTCGCAGTTCCGGTATGTAGGCACCATCATCTCAATGGATGGGAACTGCTTGCAGGACCTGAACATAAGTTTTTCTTTGGCGCTAATCACGTTCAGGAGCCTTACGAACGTTTAAACCCATAATATCGAAACAGCTCATAATATGAAAATGTGATAAGCAGACATCAGTCTTAAGCGGCCTGTAGGTTTGCGATGATGGCTAAGATGCTTACAGATCGCTGTAAGGTCCACGAATGAAGGGCTCCACAAACAGTGCCACATGGT